CCATGGGTGCTGTATGCTCCTATAAGGCCTCTAGGAGGCCATCGTAGAGTGCTGTGCTCTGTGATGTCTGTCACCTTCCCTCTCCACACTGGCATTCCACATCAAACACGCCAGTGAAATAGTGATTGTTTTTCCTTGTTTCTGTTCTCTGCTGTGCAGAGAAGTGGGCCAGGCACCCACAGGCGGCCATCTTGGCCTGTAGCTGCTATTTGAAAGAAATGGAGGCTGAGAGGCCTAACATTCTTAAAAGACACCAATGCAAAAATAGAAATACAAGTCAGGATTCTGGGGCCTCTGGCAGTCTCTTCAGGCTGCTCACTGTTAAAGTGACCATTCTTTTAAAAAATAACCAATACCAAGAAAGAGAGAGTTACAGTCTCTTAGAAATTTACATCTTAAAAAAGGCCCTAAAAAAGATATTAAGGAGCCTTAATTCTGAATAGGCCTGGTTATTGACGATCTCTTGAGAAAGGTTTTGTGTTTGTGGCCATTCATTTTAAAAGTATATATTAAATTCTTGGTCGCACTTTTAAAAAATTGAGTTTGCTTGCTCACGCAACATGAGAAACACTTTTGTGTGATGAGGGCAAAGGTAACAACTAGCACTATATTTTGTTATAAATAAGTCATAATTGGTACTAAACTTCTAGTCAATATTCTATTTAGTTAGAGGTCTAAGAATTCAAAGATCTTGAAACCCTCTTAAAGCATTAAAGTAAAATGACTTAGTGAGTAAATGTAGTGAAATTGCTCACATTCACAATCCCTTGATCTTTACAAATAGACACCAGCAGTTTAATCTAGTGAGAGACTCTGTGGCATACTGGATCACCGGTGGACACGATGTACCTACCACTGTTAGGTGTGCTGTGGTCACGCTGTCCACCATTTGGAGGAGAAAGTAGCTTTGGTTGGTATTTCAGTTTCCTGGGTCAGTGACTTAATAAACTTTGGAACAAAAAGGGATGAGTGACAAAAACCCAACCAAAACACAAACTTAGGCTTAGAACTTCCAACTCTAAAATCTCAATAAATATAAAGCAGCTGTCATGTTTGCATCATCCCAGGGAGTTTAACAGACTGTCCTGTACCCCATAGGTTCCCCACGATAATTTGTGAATACTGGGGGTTGTGGGTATAGCTCAGTGATAGAGTGTGCGCTTAGCATGTGCAAAGGCCCTGGGGTCCTCCCCTTCCCCAGTCTGAATGCTGAGTGAATCTGCTTCCTCCAAGAGTGCGGATGGAGGCTAAAATAAATGAGCACTCCCAGGAGTTTGCAGCTGCCTTCCTCTTATTATCTGGTAGTGAAGGATAGTTAATATGTAAGAAGCAAGAGGGACTAGAGAATTAGGCAAACCCTTCACCAATTAACCAGCTTTTCCTTGACTTGACCTCCCTAACCCACAAGCCCTGGCTTAACTCACTTCTTCCCCTTCAAGCCTTCCTAAAAATAACTTTTCTTTCTAACCTCCCTCTCCTGTCACCACTGTTTATTTCCAACTTCACAACTTCCCTTCCCTGAAAATATAGCTGACCTGCAAAGAAAAGGAGCATGGAATAAAAGAGGAACCCGGCAAAATCTCAATCGTTGTATGTTTGTGTTGTTTCTTAGTGTTGTTCCCTGTGGAGAAGAGGATACAGATTCTTCAGATTCTTATTTGAGGGCAGTTATGGGGAATTTGGAGCTTTATCAAGGAGTTAGCTTCTACAGCATAAGAATTAGCCTCCATCAGTTGTTATTTGCAGGTATTTATTAAGTGTAAGTGATGATTATCATAAGTCAGGACTACACAGTCAAAGAGTCATTTTCTGACCAAATTTAAAGCCAAAAATGTCTATAATACAAAATGGTATTGAGCTTATCAGTAATACAAAATATTGTACAAATTCACTTTTTTTTTTTTGGTACCAGGGATCGAACTCGGGTCCTTGCGCTTGCGCAGCAGGCAGCAAAACCACTGAGCTAAATCCCCGGCACAAATTCACTTTTTAATAGCCACCTGTTGATCTTATACAGCAATGAAAAATGAATATGTCTTTGGGCTGGGAGTGTAGCTGAGTGGTGGTGCAGTTGCCTGCACTCACGAAGCCTCTGCCTGTAACTATAGGCATGCATGGCTCTGTGATGGGGGCACACTCTGGAAAAGGTGCTATGAGTTGATTCACAGCTGTGCAGACCTTGCAGAGTGCTTGCAGAAGCCTGGCTGGCACAGGTCGGTGACCACCTGCAGCCACTTGATGCCTCCCGGTAGAGGCTGGGATGTGGTGAGTGGCAGGGTGTGAGCCACGCATGCATGAGGCCCTGGGTTTGAGCCCTAGCACAGAAGAGGCATGGACTTGGTGAAGCCCGGGATTGGCTTTTTACACCTTTGTGTGAGCTGTGCCTCCCCAAACCCCATAGCAAGGTTGGCATATTACCTCTCTGATGTGAAAAATACAGCATAGCACATACACAAACAGCTAATGCCTATTATCATTATCAAGTATGCACTATACATAACTGGGTTACACTTTTATACACCTGGCGGAACAGTAGGTTTATTTATACTGGCAGCACCCCAGTCCTGTGAGTAATGCATTGTGCTATGATGTTAAGACAGTTACAATGTCACTAGGAGATGGGAATTCTTCGGTTCTGTTATGAGCCTAGGGGACCAGCAGGGACCGGCATCATACATGTGGCCCATCATCACACAGTGTTTGGCTGCATTAGTCTTCTGTCACTGTGACAAGATGCCTGAGACATACAACTGAAAGGGAGGAAAGGTTTATGTATTTTGCCTCACGGTTTCAGTGTTTGCAGTCCATGGCCACATGGCCTTGCAGTGAGGCAGAATGTCATGGTGGGAGCATGTGGTGGAGCAAAGCTGCTCACCTCACAGTGTCTGGGAAGCAGAGAGGGAGACAGGAGGGAACCTTCTCAGGCATCTTCCCGGTAATTAACTTCCTCTCACAAAGCCCAAAAGTTCCACCACTTCCCAACAGCATCACAGGTAGGTGACCAAGCCTTATGAGCCTTTGGGGGATTTTTTCTTTTTTTTTTTTGAGACAAAGTCTCACTATGCAGTCCAGGCTGGCCTTGAACTTACCATGTAGCCCAGGCTGAACTCAAACTCACGGCAATCCTCCTGTATCAGCCTCCCAAGTGCTGGGATCACAGGTGTGCACCACCATGCCTGGCTGGGGAACATTTAAGTTCCAAACCATAACAAGCTATATGTATTTATTCTTTCTCCAAGATATTTTTCTATTGTCCTAGAAGATCCTCAGGCACTACCATTTATCTGTGTAAACTCTTGGAGAGAAATAAATGATGGTCCGGACAGAATGGGAATGGTGGGGTTACAGAAGAACTGCATGTGACACACACCAGGACACCCGCTTATCATCCCAAAGTGTCAAGGACTTGATGAACCAGGGGCCAGGCCGCTACATATTTTCTAAGATTGCAGAACTTTGATAACATCTCCATTTGCAAAATCTATCATTCTCTCTCTGCAGAGATCAGCAGGCAAACCCTTCAGACTTTAAAAATGCCTACATGGCTGTAGTACCTGGTACCAAAGAAGGTGGAAGCCAGAAAAATCGGGCTGTCCCACTCCCTGCACAGTGCCCTGCTCATCCATGGATGGACAAGGCCTCCCTCTGGGAGCAGGAGTGAAAGCGAAGCCCCTGGGGTTACCACAGGGAAGAAAAGAAAAATCCAGAGGGCTAGCAGTAGGGGGGCTTCTCCTCTCGAAGAAGCCATCTGGAGACCTTAACTCTCCATCTCATTTTTTTTTTTTTTTTTTGAGACAAATTCTCACTATTAGTTCAGGCTGGCCTTGAACTCACTATGCAGCCCTGGCTGGCCTCAAACTCACAATGATCCTTCTGCCTCAGCCTCCCAAGTGCTGGGATCACAGGCATGCGCCAACATACCCACCTCGGTCTCATTTTTAACATGAGAACCATACCCCTCTTCTTATAGGACTATAGTGATGATTAAGCCATACAGTTCATGTAAGATGCATGGCATATTTATGAGAACATAATAAATTCTGTAAATAATGGCATTATTGGCCCTAATGTCCTTACAGGTCACATGGGCATAGTCCAAAGAAGTTAAATCAGGCCACAGGTCAAGGAAGAACTATAGATTCTTCCATGTCTGTAATAGGGGATCCACTTTATAGATGGAGAAACTGAGGCTACACATAAGAAAGCACACGGCCAGGCTGGGATGTGGCTCAGTGGCAGAGGCAAAGCAAAGTTGCACGGCTAATGAGTAGCTGACTGAGATTCACTCCTGGGTCCCTTTGCCGCCTGAGATTATTTACTTGTTCTTTTGTACAGCTCTGTCTCCTGATGTAAATATTAACATAAATAAAACTTTATTTGAAAGATTTCTTTTGGGGGCCGAGGATATGATTTAGTGGCATGCCCAAGCCTCTGGACTTAGCACTGCAGCGGGGGAAAAGTGATTTGTTTGTGGATCTGGAATCGACAATAATTACAAAGTTGATTACCAGCACAATTTCACACTTTTCCCGTTTCCACACTTGAAGGGAGAGGGGCTGTGTGAGCCATCAGGAACATCCGCTGAACTTTGTGTCAGCGACCACCGTTCACCTTTAGGGTCTTCTTCCCCTTCCTCTTCTTCCTCTTCCTCCCCCTCTTCTTTTTATTATTATTTTAATTAAATGTTTGTTTTTGTAGTGCTGCAGATGGAGCCCAGGACCTTGCGCTGCGGCTACTCTGCCAATTATTATTATTATTATTACTATTATTATTATTATTATTATTAATCTCCCAAGGAGCACTGAGAGGTGGCGGTTTCCAGGGACCGATGGGCCGGGTTCTCCAATTCCGCTGCTGTCCGGGCCGCACCTCCGAGCAGAGAAACAAGGCCCTTCCGTGTCCCCGTCCTCATTTTCACGGAGGAAACGACAGAGGCTCGGACGAGTGGCCCTGAAGAGCGCGCTTCTGGAGAAATGAAGCAGCACTGGCAGGCCGCGTCGATGCCTACGCTCTTTCCAGAGAAACGCGCTTTCCGGAGCGAGCGTGGGCCGTGCGAGTCTCAGCGCCACCAGGGCGGGGTCCCTCGAGGCCACTGCGAGCTGCAGTCGCGGCCAGGAGCCGCTCCTCTCCGCCAAGCCCTTCCTGCCTCCGGCCTGCGGATCAGAGAGGCCCGGACCCCAGGCCGCAGCCCGGGGAGAGGGAGGAGCGACGGAGGTGCAGGGAGGGGACGTCCCGCCTCTCCTGCCATCCGGGAGTCCGCGAATCCGCTTCCTTTAAAGTCTCTAAGAGTCTCTGCCGAAGCTTTGCTGGATGTTTTGAAGCGCCCAAAAGAAAAAAAAAAAAAAAAAAGGAAGAAAGAAAGAGGGAAGAGGAGACTCTGGGAGGCTGAGGCAGGAGGATCGCAAGTGCAAGTCCAGCCCGGGCAACTTAGCAAGACACTGATGCAAAAGCAAAAATTAAAAAAAAAAAAGACCGGGGATGTAGCTCTGTGGAAAGGCCCTGGATTCAATACATAGTACTGCCAAAAAACAAAACAAAACAAAACACCGAGGAGGGAGGTGACTAATCCTATGGGGAATTTTTACCCTTAACATTCGTCTATAAATAAGAAAATAGAAGGAGAAATGGAAACGAAGCTTTTGCATGTAAGGAGGAAAAGAGGGGTGGGAGGGAAGGAGGAATGGGGGGAAAAAAAGCAAGATGTAGCATGTACAGGTACAAATTCCCTATGATGAATGTGATCATTATGTACATATAAAAGGTGCCAATAAATGTTTTGCTTCAAAAATTTTTTTAAATCTTTTAAAAAAACCATTCTTTTCTAAATATTCAGGTTACTAAATAGGATCTCACAACGATAAAACTGTATAGCACGTTGGGTATGAAATTAGAACCAAACACCACCTAGCCAGCTTTCTTACTAACTGTGAGACCTTAAGCAACCCATTTATGTGAAGATGCAGCATTTTCACATGTGCAACAGGCCCACTAGGATCAACTCATAAAGAGTAAGAGACGCAGGCTGGGGATTTAGCTCAGTGGTTCCATCACGGGCCTTGCAAGTGCAAGGTCCTGAGTTCAATCAATCCTGGTACCCCGCCCCCCCAAAAGAGTAAAAGAGATAAAGCACCCAAAATACTTCATGTCACTTTATAAAGAGCCATTTTCGTTATAACAATTCTGTCACAAAACCATATGCTTACCCCGTTTTGCGTTTTGGTGCTGGGAATGAACCCAGAGTCTTGTGGATGCTAAACACACACACTCTACCATGGAGCCAGCCACATTCTCTGCCCCATGCTGTTGTAGTCTGATAAGGTTTTCCTTTTGAGATCACAGGATTAGGCCACTCACTTATGGGTAGGGATAGTACCTTTCTTGAGGAGCTAGACCTTCAATTTTTTTTTTTTTTTTCAGTGCTGGGGATCAAACTCAGGACCTTGCACATTGCTAGGCAAGCACTCTACCACTACTACACCTCCACCCCCGAGCTGGGCATTCTCCATGCTTCCAGGGAAGGGACGTAAATTCGACAGACCAGAGCAGTACCGCCTCCTTCTCATTGTCCTGTGTCTAAAACTCAAGAAATCTAGGTATGCAAAGGCTATGTCTGCTTGATAAGGTTCAAAAATGGCAAAGTGGAAACCAGGAAGGGGCCACAAACTGTAGATGATCAGCTACATCATACAAACTAGACCACACGTCACATGGCAGCAGGTTACGGTAGTGAAGCGTGTGCTAGGGTCAAAGCATCTCCCGCTGTGGGCCTGAAGCCCTGGAAAAACAAACTCTCCACATGGAAGCTGAATCTTAGGACAAAAGTTGGGGTTTGCTATGTGCTCCTTCCTATGTAAAAGTGGGGGTTTATTTCACTTGAAGACAGTGGATTCCCTTGCAAGTTCCTTAAACTTTTCAGTTATATCTATTAAGGTGAAGAAATCTCAAAGGTAGTTCAGATATTGCTCTTTCTATTTTTCTAAGTTAACCAAATCTTAAAAAGATTACTTGACTTGCTTAGGCTTGTGAGGTTAGTCAGTGGCAATCCCTGAGGGAAATCAGTTTTTTTAAGAAATTATAACAGTCTCTACATCTGTAGTTTCACTTTTGCAGGTTCAGTTACTCAGTCAAGTACAGTCAGAAAATAGTAAAGGGGAAATTTCAAGAAAAAACAGTTCATAAGTTTTCAATTGTGTGCTGTTCTGAGCAGGGTGATGAAATGTCACGCAGCCCTGCTGTGTCCCACTGGCGCTGTGAGTGAAAAGCTACACCTTTCCCTCATATCTCCATTGTATATGCTGCCCACCCAGCACTCATTTAGTAGCCATCTTGGTTTTCAGATTGGTGGTCATGGTCTTTTGCTATGGTGTACTTGTTACATTTATTTTACTTAAGTAGTGGCATAAAGTCCAAGAGGAGTGATGCTGGCAATACAGATCTGCCAAAGAGAGCTGTAAAGAGTTTCCCTTAATGGGCTGGGGATTTAGCTCAGTGGTTCTGTCGCCTGCCTTGCAAATGCAAGGTCCTGAGTTCAATCCCCGGTACCAAAAAAAAAAAAAAAAAAGAGTTTCCCTTAAAAAACTGAAGTTCTTAATGAGGAAAGACAAAAAAACCTCATGCTGAGGTTGCTAAGATCTATTGTATGTTATTGTCGTCAATCTCTTGCCATGTCTAATTTATTAAAGTTTGTCATGGATATGTTTGTATAGTGATAAAACCATAGCATAGTGTTTCAGGCTGCCACTGAGGGTCTTGAAAAGTTAAATTTAGTGACTGCATTCCTTTAGAGGTAAAGTTTTATTACTTATTAAATCAATGATAAAAAATAAACTGTCTTTCTCAGAAAAGAGGGAACTACTGTACTTCTAGTCTAAGGAGATTTCAATTACCTCCACACTAGGGAAGCAGATGTGGTGTCAAGTTCTTTCTGGCTATCGTTTTGCATTATTCACACCACTTACTCATTCCACTTTCCACACATCCAAGGTAACTGAATCAACTGTATTCAGAAAAAATATTTTCTGTGTTCCTGTGGATGCAATATTGATGGCTGCACAGATTTAACTCTATAAATTCTAGCATGCCTTAGAACATAAACTGAACGTTTCCCTCTGGCCCCATAGAGTACAATTGACTGTCATTATCATAAGCCATGCTCTTCCTTTTTTTGGGAGACAGGGTCTTGCTTTGTAGTTCAGGCTGCCCTGAACTCACTATGTAGCCCAGGCTGGCCTTGAATTTGCAGTGATCCTCCTGCCTCAGCCTCCCAAGTGCTGGGATTACAGGCCTGTGCCACCATGCCTGGGCCCTTCCTTTTCTGATTTAGCCCTAATAATATTCCATATTACCCATGGTAGGTTCAAAAATAATGTTATCATTCTGAATTTCTGAAAAGGAGTATGAGATTCTTAAGTGAAATAATGTTTTAGCAGCATTCAGAAACAAAACATATTCTCTGGAAAAATGGTTGTAGTTTGCTATTGTTCAATGTAAGCTAATAATGTTCAAATAGGATTAAAAGTGTAACATAATCAGCAGTCAGGTTTTCATAATGAAGAGTGGAAAGTTGCATCAGATATCAGCATAATGCAGATAATTACTCCTTAGTATGTTGGGCCTTTGTTATTTGAATAATCATTTTCACTTGTGGAAAGTTTTCCAGAATAATTATATACTTGCTATGTCTATTCAGCTAAATAGGCAGCACATAGTAAGCACCAAATATGTGCCCCAATTAGGCTCGGTACTGGGGATGTATAAAAGTTATAGTAAATTCCCAACTTATGAGGGAATTCCATTCCAGGAGAATGTTTGTAAGTTGGATTTGTTTGTAAGTCAGATTCATTGGTAAGTCTGACAAAGTAAGTCTTATACATCTTTGACACAAATATACAATGTAAAGCATAAAAAACCAAACACACACCAAAAACACTGTAAATGAACCATTTTTACTTTTTTGATTACCTTAAAATGGTGGCGCAGTTCAGTCTAACAACTGGCATTTATTTCACAGAGGGAACTGATCAGAGCACTGAGTTACTGACTAGAGGAGGAAGGGTAGGCGGGAGATGGTGGAGTGATGTCTACCATCTTTTCACCTTGGTCCAATCTCTCAATTATTTTTACTTGTTTCCATGGTTACTGCTTCGCACTTCCTAGCAGTCCCCTCCGCATCACCGCTGCTTTTCCTCTTGCTTCCGACCATCCTGGGCTCTGGCTGAGCCCTGTGCTCCTGCACACTATCACACTGTACAGTGAGCACAGAGCGGCACAACTGTGACAGTGTGCAGCAGACACATGAGCTACTTCCTCGATTTGTTGGCATCTATGATTGTTCATAATGCGAGGTCTGTTCGTATCTGACAAACTTCAAAACTGGGATGTTCACAAGTTGGGGACTTACTATGTATAAGATTAGGCTTCTGACTTCAAACCTAAAGGGGAGTTAATTAACATACATTAAATATTATTTTAAATCATCCAAATCTAGAGAAACAGTATTCTTTTAAATATACTATTCAAGTTCAGAGAGGTAGAGAGTAACTTGGTTTTGAGATAGATTAGGGTGTGGCAAAGCTTGTTGGGGAAGTAGGTGTGACCCATTAATTACAAGATCCTGGAACACAAGCGCAGAACAGTTTCCATGTAGACTTCTCCCCAGAATTTGAGCAGGTTTTCAATAGGATGGCCCAGACCTGACTTCTGCCTGAAGCGTGGGATCCCAGCACCGCCTCTCAGGACCCATATGCAGAAGTTCTCCTGGGTTTCCTTGAGATTTGGACAGTATAAAAGGACGCAGTGGCCAAGAAGAGTTTGCTATGGTGTTTTCCTCATGGTACTCTACCCTCTGTCCTCCAGAGTGTAGTTTTATCTTGCTTTTTCCTCTTTTACTCAGCCCAAGCTCACTCTACAGAGGCAGTTGCTCCCTCACTCTTCACTTGAACTTTTTCAAATAAACTTTGTCACTGCTTTTTGCTCCTTTCGTTCAATTCTTTGTTCCAGATGAGAAGAACCTGTGGACTCCAACTCCAGAAGGAAAAGTGAGCAACCTAGAACCCAGTAATGATTATTTGGCCAGCCACTTTTAGAAGGAGATACCCATAGCAGGGCATGGTAGCACATTCCTGTAATCCTAGCACTCAGGAGGCTGAGGCAGGAGGATCACCATGAGTTCAAGGCCAGCCTGAACTATATAGTGAGATCCTGTCTCAAAAAAAAAAAAAAAAGGAGCTACCCAATAATGGTTTGAATAACAAAATGCTTTTCTGAAAAGTCAAATTTAATGACATTACCTTAGGGATACAGTTGTGCAGTCTTACCTACTAAATCAATGATAAATTTTTTTTTGCTACTGGGGATCGAACTCAGGACCTTGCACTTGCAAGGCAGGCAAGCTGCCACTGAGCTAAATCCCCAGCCCTAATGATACATTTTTTTTTAAGTTAAAAATATTGGGAGCTGTAACCCAACACTCTGAGAGGCTGAGAAAGGAGTAGTACAGTTAGAAACAAAGGAGCTGATGAAGTCACTCCCTTCCACTCGTTTAATTTTACACAGCACCAGAGGGCCTTTCTTCCTTCCCTTGTCCCAAGAGAGGCAGAGACTCATAACAAAGAACGAGTAAATCCAATGCTCTAGGTGCGAGCACATGCTTTGGATCTCCTAGCCTGACCTTCAGTCACCTTCACCCGACTCCACCTTTATTAAGGGTTCATGAATGAACACTATGTCTCATCCATGTCATTAAGATCAGAGTGAATTCCGGGACAAGCATGTGTGTTGAGAGGCCCTGGGATGACTCAGCACCTGTCAGTCACTCCTGTCAATCACACCTAGAGATCAGGGAGACACCTGGGCTGAGACCCTTGTCCTTTAAATTCCAAAAGCCTGATTTATCTGGGGTGGCCGCTGCTGGGTGCTGTGTTCTGTGTGCAGCACTTTTACTTTCCTGTCACCCCAGCACCACTTTTCTGTCTGCCATATCTTTTGTTGGCACAAATGCCTTGAGCAAATTTCCCCTGATAGTCAATAAATGTAGCTGCTTGGCACTTGGCATTGGCTGTATGCTTGCAATTCTTTGCTTTTACACAAGAGCCTGGATTATACATGGTAACAGGAGGATTGAGAGTTCAAGCTCAGCCTGGGCAACTTAGCAAGACGCGATCTCAAAATGTAAAAAATAATAAAAAGGCTGAGAATGTAGCTCAGTGTGAGGGCCCTGGGTTTAATCCCAGGTACTATACACACATAAAGACAGAAAGATCAATGACAGAAAGAAAGAGAATTGGGAAGAGTCGCAGAAAAATCTGTTAAACTCTTAAAAATAGTAACTAGTTTTTATGTATGAATGTTTATAGAAGGATTGATTCCATTTTATTAACATGTACTGCTAATGCTTTTACTGACACAAAAAAATAATCCAAATTAAAGTCTGTCTTGCAACAAATCTGCTGAATCTAGGTCTTCTTTTAAAAATTTATTGAGAAAACCAACTTCTGTCTCAATTTTTTAGACATAATTTCAAGCCAGGCATGGTGGCATGGGCCCATAGTCCCAGCTACTCAGAAGGCTGAGTCCAGGAGTTTGACACAACCTGGACAATACACCAAGATCTTGTCTTAAATAGAAAAAAATTGTCCTAGGTGTTGGAAATATATATCGATGAATACAGCTGTTCATGTCCTCAAGCATTTAGCTTTATTTTTTGAGACAGGATCTCACTATGTAGACCCTGAACGCCAACCCAGGATCCTGCCTCAGCCCCTGGAGCCCTGGGATTGCTTACAGGTGTGCACAACCGTGCCCAGCTAAGTGCTTACAGTTTGGTAGAAACAAATAAAATCATTGTAAATGACTGTGAGGAGCTTGGTGAATACCTGGCCAGAGGGGAAGAGGATGAGAAGGATTTAAGGAGGAGGTGACCTTGTCCAGGACAACCATGGAGGGACAAATGTGTGCTGGCGGGAGGATCAATGTTGAGGCGGGGAGGGATGGTAAAGGCCATAGTGTGTGAAAAATAAGCCTAAGACCAGAGTTAGGGTTTCTACGCTTATTTCCAAGCCTTTCTGTTACCTACATGATGGGAGTCTTTAAAAAACAAATAACCGGGAAAAAAAACCAAAACAACAACTGGGGGAATGGGATAAAATAAAATTTATTTAAAAAAATAAAAAACAACTAGAACAATTGACTATGAAATTCACATAAATCAATGCCAATGATTATTTTTCCATATTTTGGGATGTTAACAATGTACTTACACACTTGTATTCATTTTATGTAAATGTCTTTTAGTAAGAGCCCTTTTGTGATGATTGGTTTATATTCACTTTCAAATAGAATGCTGATCACAGCACTAAATGCCTGTCTTCTACGAAAAAAACTATTTTAATAAAGAATAGCCAATTTGCTTCAAGATATACTGATTATAGAACTAGAATTAAAATGGTTTTAATAAAAACTAAACCTTGTATTTTAAAGTGTAAATTGCTTTTAACATCAAGTCTTTAGTAAAGAAAAACCCTGATTTATCATTATAAATCATGTACCAATGACTATCAGTGATAAATGTTAATGAAAATATTCATTTGAGCCACATCATTAGGCATTTTATTCCAGACTTTTTCTTCTTTTTTTTTTTTGGTACCGGGGATCGAACTCAGGTCGTTGCGCTTGCAAGACAGGCGACGGCACCACTGAGCTAAATCCCCGGCCCTATTCCAGACTTTTAAAAAAGAAAATACTCGAGAATAGTGGGTTTATCTACAAAACAATAACAGACAACATTACGCTACAGCTGCAAAGTTTCTGGGACGAAGGATTTAAAAAAACCAAAAACTCCCCCAAACTCCCACTGTAACTTCAGCCGGAGGGCACATCATATTTCACCACGAGGAACGCATGAATACGTGTGACTCCGAGCACAACGCGGGAATGTTTTTGTGGCTTGGAGAACCTTCGGTTTTGTATCAGAAATGCAGCCTTGGGACGCAAGGACTGCGCCTGTCTCGCACGCGTCCTCCCACACCTATGCCTCCCCTGTGGCTGGAGTCCAGTGGCCCGGCTTCCTCCCGCCCCAGGCCCCACGCCCCCCAGCCCGGCCCCGCCGGCTGCGAGGTCGTGGTCGCAGCGAGGACGCGGGCGGGCGGGGCGCGGTCGGGTCCCTAAGCCCAGGCCGAGCTCTCCGGCTGCGTTTTAAAACCTGCGGTTGATCACGTCCTATAAACTAGAGGGAGAGGAGTGTGTGTGTCCCCACATCAATCCCCGTCAGGAAAAGGCGGCCTTTGGAAACCATCAAACGAGTCCCCCGCGCCGGGCTCGGCCCTGGCTGCGCAGCGCAGGGGTGGGAGGCCGGCGGCTGGACGAAGCCGGGTCGCCGGGGAGGCGCGCGCGCCCCGAGCCCTCATCCCCCGGGACCCCGCGCGCCCCGCGCCAGGCCGCGGCGTCTCCCCGGCGACGCGCTCCGCAGCAAGATGGCGGAAGGTAGACACAAGGAAGGTACGGGAAGGAGGCCAAGAGGCCTCCACTCTCGTCGCCCGCCCGGCGCGACCCCAGGGGAGGATAGGGCGTGGGCCCGGCCACCCTCTGCGCTGCGCCCCACCCGCCCGGCCCAGGTGGCCGCGTCCCCGCCGCCAGCCCCGCTCTCTGCGTCCCCGTCCCCTGGAGGCCGGGCCAGTGCGGGTAATGGCGCTCGCCGCCGCCACCGCCGCCTCCACAGCCTCTACCCGCGCTCGGCCCTGGGCGCCAGGCCGGCAGCGGGTCGGGCTGCGGGTTGGGCTGCGGGCATCGGAACGGTCTGGTTGTGGCCGCCGCACTCGGCCGCGTCCTGCCGCCCCGCATGGGCCTCCGTGAGGCGTCGGCGCCGCCATCTTGGTTTCCTGGCCGGGACGCGGGAGGACGCGCCTGCGGTCACGGCTTTAAAATGATAATATTAAGGCAGTTCCAGTAGAATATGAAAAAGCAACACCGGGTGGTGGTGTGCTGAGCGCAACTGGCCTCAGGTCGCCGGGTCCTGGTAATGAATGTGTTGCTCGCAGGAGATTCGAAAAACCGATTGCTCACATTTAATTGCAAGACCTTTAGGTTGTGTTTAATTCACCAGTACAATTTAAAACCAGATGCTTAGTGTAACTATCCTTTCTGTTTCTCAGAAATAATTGTGTTATAATTGGCACAATCACCGCAAAAAAATAAAATTGCTGCCCCAACGGTAGAGGTAAACATCATAGAAGTGAAACTGGAAGTTCCAACTGTTCCTTTCTGTTCCAGTTCCTTTTTGAAATGCGCCAAACACCCTATCATCGTACTGCCTTTCTCAGGGAAGACTGTAGTCAGGTTAACTAATATTTACATCAGATGTTACTCGCCATGGTGATCACAGAAAGTCAGGAAAAACACTTGAAACTGCCAAAGATCTCACTGGATAGCGGGAACGCTATGATTTTATATGATCCAATTTAACAGACCAGGCTTAGATGCACCTTTCTAAAATGCCTTAATGATTTTATGCTGCTGCTTTAAAATTTGAAGGTACATTCCAAGAAAAGTAATTTTTTAAAAAAGATTAAAAAACTCAGAAATATTGAAATAAAATGACGGATGGCAAGTATAAAGTATATTAATTGTATGCCTTACACTGATGTAAAATGGGAAAAAACGTGCTTTTGAAAATTGGGAAAATGCGAATTCGCTGTGCTTTTCTTTGCTTTCAGGAACATAATTATGCTATTTATGATGACAGATTAGATATTAAAACTAGTTCACTAAACATAAAAAAACAAAACAAGGGCCGGGGATTTAGCTCGGTGGTTCTGCCACCTGCCTCGCAAGCGCAGGGATCCGAGTTCGATCCCCGGTACCAAAAAAGAAAAAGAAAAGAAAGCAAAAAAACAAAACAAAAATTTTCCGGCCCAGGGACTTAGCTCAGTGGCCGCCTGCCTCTAAAGCGCAAGGTCCTGAGTTTGATCATCTCCGGTACAAAAAAAAAAAACAAAAACCAAACCTCCGGAAAGCAAAGTGACTTTTTAAAAAAAAATTAAATTCTTGTTTGTTTACAAAAATAAAAGGAAAACTTACTGGGAGATAAACTGATTTTTAAAAAGATTTCATTAGGTCAGCATAGAAATGCACTGTAGTATACTGTAAACTTTTACAATTCTCCTTTAGAAAAAAAATAGATTAAAAGCTTTCCAGATTTTTTAATTTCCAAAAATATTTTTCTATTTTAAATAATTAAAGTCAGAAACAATTCTGTCTATAACCATAGCAGAAGTAATGACTTGTGAAAGCTAGATGTCATTTATTCAGTTGGCGTTTATTTGTTGGCTGTCATACGGAAGGCATCCAGGTAGAATAGAAGTGTGGAGGATACAAAGATGATAAAGACCTTGTCTTGGCTCCAAGGAAGGGGGCATCAACAGAAGAGGTAAGACACAGATAGGAGGGCACAGATGCCTAGGCTGAGCTGCCCTCATGGCAGGTGAGTTATGTAACCTGGTGTGTTACGGGTCAGTGGCCTGGACATGACTGGAAGCTTATCAGAAAGGAGGCTGCAGACCTCCCCTGCCCTCCTCAATCAGCCATCATTTAAACACACCCGCAGCGTTCCATGTGGGCATTACAGTCCAAGAAGCATGCTGTATGATGCATTTCAATCTTAAGGTGTTTAGTGTGTTAATGCAGCTTGAGGGGCATAATGAGACAAAGGTCAGAGGCTGAACTATATACTCATTGGCGATAAGATTTTATATGGATGTATTCCATCCCTGTATTTCATTCTCATTTCTGCAGCTTCACAATTTGCATCTAGTCAGTTGATCTGAATTTATCAAATTTAAGGGAATTACTCAAGCTAACACACCAAAGACTGATGTGCAAACCTGAGTGATCTTTGGTTTAAGTAGGGATGTACTGACACGTTGACCAGAAATCTGATTTAGGCCATGACCATACTGTTTTATGAATATTAAATTTGGGGGGGAGAGTGAGTTTATTTTTCAGAAGTTTCTTGATGACCAGGGAATCATACACAGAAAGAGGATAGTTTTGAAGTACTATTTATTCATTACCCTGTGAGTCCAGAAAGGTCAGGAGCCATTTCAGATCTGTGTCTTTCAGAGTGCTTGCTTAGCACACAGTGGGTACTCAGTATTTGTTGAATATAGATCATTTGAATTAATCAAAGACAGCTTGTTTTAAAGCATATGCTCAGGTTCGTTGGCTTTCCACTGACCAAATCAAAGGAGGCCAAATATTTGGGTAAAAAGGAAAAACGATTTATTTAAAGCTAGCTCGGAGGAGGTGGAGGGGACTATTTGCCTCAAATCACCTCTCACTGTTTCCAGGTGGGCAAGGGTCTCTTATAGTAAGGAACAGGGGATGGGGAACACAAGAGATAATGTATATATTTACACTTTTTACATGTGCTTTATCACTGCCAGCCATGTGTAGTTTATTGTCCCATTCCAGTGGAAAGGAAATGGCTCCAGCCCTCCTGGTGTTGGCATCTACGACCCAGGAGATGGAAAAGCTGGTTAGGCACTGGGCCTCCAAAAGCCACTTGTCTCTTTAAAAAAAATTCCATTTTGCAGTTCCTGGTTATATTACTAGCTACTTCCCAAAATCTATATTTATAGGTACAAAAAACTAGCTTTAGGGCACTCCCCCACGCACAGGTAGGCTATGATGTGTATGACCCAACAAACATTTTCTTCACACTACCAGGTATTTACTAGCATGTCTTTAAAAATAACTACAAGCTAGGGCTGGGGATTTAGCTCAGTGGTGCTGCCTGCCTCGCAAGCTCAAGGTGCCAAGTTCGATCCCTGGTACCAAAAAAATAAAACAAAAACAACTACAAGCTCAGGATGATGGCTCAGGCCTATGTTCCCAGCATTATGGGAGGATGAGACAGGAGGATTGCAAATTTGAGCCCAGCAATTTATCAAGACCCTGACTCAAAATAAAAAAAGGGCTGGGAATGTAGCTCAGTGCAGTGGCCCTGGGTTAAATCCCCAGTATCAGCAACAAAACAAAGCAAACCTGCAAAAAACTTCTTTGGTGGAATATACATCTTTTAAGTAGTTCATCTTTAATCTTGAGATTTAAGATGTAAAGGAATAAGTTTCTGGGTGTGATGAACTTTCATACATGTATTGATAATATTGTAGGAAAAGTTAAATATAAAAACTATTAGAGAGGCTATCATGGTCTAGATAGAAAACTTTTCTGTATGACTAAGTACATTGAAGTTGTGCTTATCTATAGCATTTTTATGCTGTAAGAGTATAATTTATTTTTTTCCTCAAGGCCTCATGCATGCTAGGCAAGTGTTCTGCCACTGGGCTACGTGCACAGCCCCTTTTAAATTTTTCTTCAATTTTGAGACAGGGCTTTGCCAAGTTACCCAGGCTGGCCTTGAATTTTAGATCCTCTTGCCTCAGCTTTCCCAGAAGCTGGGGCTATAGGAGCACACACAGCTCTCCCCGAGTTAGATCAACATTAACATCTATTTAGAGACTAAACGAAGAAGAGAACTAACTCGCTGAAAATTAATTTACTTTTTCTAGTTCACCACTTGTAAATATTTGGAGAAAAACGAGACTGAAATTCATCTGTCTACTAATTTAACTGAATACTACTAATTTAGAATTTGGACACTGCCTTTTTTTTTTTCTTCTTGTCCTGGTACTGGGAATTGAACCTAGGACCTTCACATTAAGCTACATCTCCAGCCCTTTTTAAATATGTAAAGACAACTTAATATTTAAGTTGCCCAGGCTGAGCTTGAACTTGCAATCCCCCTGCTTCAGTCTCCCAGAGTGCTGTGATTACATGTATGGACTGCCTTGCCCCAGCTTGGCCTCTGCTTTTTTCAGGTTTTACTTAAACGTGTCACTTGATTTCTCTGAACTTCAGTTCAAAGAATTTTCAGACAAGATGCTAAGGAGATGCTGATATAGTGATATTATAGTACTGTGATATTTGCAGTTATACAATAAATGGCAGTTTGGAAGCCACCGGATTTATACAGACACCCTTCACGTTATAGGCCCCTTTCATTCTTTCTCATAGTGTTATGACTTGTGTCTTGATGTCCTCCCAAAGCCTCATGCAGTGGTGGGTGAATTGATTTCTAGAATTGATTCTTGGTGCAATGCTAGGCCCCAGGGCACTAGGATTGAGGGTATGAGTGCTACCCACCCCAAATAATCTGCATAAAAGGGGCAGAAAGATGCTGTTGGGGGCCCCTCCTCTTTTCCCATGTTGCCTTTGCTACCTTGTGGGTGCCAAGAACTGTTTCTCCTCTGTGGTGCACCTCTGCCATGTGCCACTCTGCCTTAGAGCCAGCGATTATGGACTGAAACCTCTACAAACTGTGAGCTACATAAACCCTTTCCCCTTTAACTGTGGGTGTGAGGTATTTTGTCTCAACAAGCAGAGAAATGTAGCTAACACACATAGTTATTTGGTTTTTTCCCCCATCTCTCCATGTTGTAATTTATTATTACCAGCATGTGTGTTGTTCTTCTGTCCTCTTCTGTTCCAAGAGGATAGGGGTCATGTTTTTCTTTGCTATTATAGACCTGTGTGAATAATGATGGTAATCCTGTGTATGTTGAATTTAGGTGTGTAGGGGACATTTGGGTTGAGCTATAAAATACTGCAGGTACCAGTGTGTGCCTGGCACCTGAGTATCTATTAAATGAAAAATGTGAAAGGTCTATGCGGGATTGTTTATGCACCCCTCTGTCGGCAGTCATGATCATGGCAGCGGTTGAGAATGCCCAGAGAAAATGAGTAGAAGGAAAAAAAACTTTGAGTGGAAAGAGAAGGGGCTTAGATCAGCAATTTGGGTAAAAATCTGTAACTAATTGCAGGAAAAGAAGCATATAAAAAAAAAAGGAAGCATATGAATGAGATTGAAAATACAAGTACAGAATCGTGGGAAAACAAGAAAGTAATGTCATAAAAGCTGAGACTAGAAGAAAATTTCATAAAGAAAATATTCAAAAGTGTTGGAAAAGAAAAAAATAAACCAATAGTGAAATACATAAAGAACTTACTATAAATTAGATCCTGGGGCCTAAATGTTTTTCATTTATTATGTTATTTAATCCTTATAACAAACCAGCAAGGCAGGTAGATACCTCTACTGTTGCCTTTCCACAAGTGAGGAGATGGAGCCTTAGGTAAAGCAGACTTGCAGTTTCAGCTCCAACAGGTAAGAGCTTTTCTTCTGTTGCCATTGAGGCCATAAGCTGTTAGAGACATTTGGTAAAATTTTATTTTATTTTTTGCAGTCCTAGGCTTTAGGTTCTAGAACCCAGGACCTTATGTAGGCTAGGCAAGTGCTGTACCCGTGAGCTACATCCCCACCCCAACACTTGATAATTTGACAGATTGCTGGAGGTTGAGTGGAGGCTACTGGGAGGCCCTTCTGGGGGCCTGCAGTCTTAGGAGATCCCTCATGCCGTTGTAGGTTTTACTTCCAGGAACTTCACCAGGCTGTGGTGAAGAGACAAGAAAGGTCTCCTTGTGGCCTTGGCTTGGGGGAGGGCACCCATGCCATTGGAGCACCCTCCCTAACAAAGGCCTACTCTCCAGAGGCACAGGACTGCCTGACACTTATTCTCCCCACCTGCATTTAGCCCTCTAGCCTTTCTGTCATATCTAAGGGAGGGGGAAGACGCTCACAAAACACTTGTGAGGGCTGCAGCCCAGAGAGTCCATTAAAGACTGAGATACAATTATAATATGGAATCTTCCTCATCATACCTACCACCACCTCACCAGGAAAAGAGTACAGTAACAGTGGCTTATAGCTGAAAGACCTGCAAGATGTAGACTCGGCTTAAGGAGTTCTTAGGGAAGCCCAAAGACAATAGGGAGTCAAACACAAGGGCACTGGAAGAATCTGGCACCTATAGCTACAGAAAACATTAAATGGCCCTGCTCCTGGGCAGACTGACCTAAAGCCTCACACTAATGGCCATGTACCCCAGTTCCTGCTATCTGATGCATCATGTCTGGCTTCCACCAAAAAATTACAAGGTGTTCTAACAGGCAAGGAACATACAGCCTGAAGAGTAAAAGCAAGCATCAGGACCAGACTTAGATATATGATATGTATTTTATAATTATTGGGAAATTTAAAATTATTAACATGTAAAGGCCTTAAAAGAAAAGGTGACAACATGCAAGAGCACATGAAAAGGTAAGCAGTCAGATGGACATACTAAGAATGAATCAAAAGGAAATGCTAGAAATCAAAAGCACTGTAATGGCAATGAAGAATGCATTTGATCAGTACACTCAACATGGTTGAGGAAGGCATTATCCAAGAACTATGGGGCAATTTAAAAAGATGTGAAATACATGAACTTGGAATACTAGAAGGAAATGACAGAGTTGAGCAGAAGGGATATTTGGGAAAAAAATTTTCCACGGTGAATGACAGACATCAAACCACAGATGCTGGAAATACCAAGAAAAACTTTATGTAGGCATATCATACTCAGACTATATAGAAAGCCAAGGACAATGAGAAAATTGTGGAGGAAACCAGAGTAAAAAACATCTTATTTCTAAAGAAGGATAATAATTATAGCGGATTATTGTCAGAAACCATGTGAAGAGAGGAGAAAGAAATATTTAAAAAGTACCGAAAAATAAAGGAATTTGACCAAGGTCACAGAGATACCAAGTGAAGCAGTGACTCAGTTCAAGTCTGTCTGACATCAATGTTCCTGTCCCCTATGTCACACACAGAGAAGTCAATTGGAAATTTATATAAGGAAGAAAATAAAATTGGGGCTTGGTGGCTCCTACCTGTAATCCCAGCACTTGGGAGGCGGAGGCAGGAGGATTACCGTGAGTTCAAGGCCAGCCTGCGCTACACAGCCAGACCTTGTCTCAAGGAAAAAAAAACCCACCAAACTTTAAAGATGCTGTTAAGAAGGCTGGGGATTTAGCTCAGTGGTTCCACCGCCTGCCTTGCAAGCACAAGGTCCTGAGTTCGATCTCTGGTACCAAAAAAGAGATGCTGTTAAGAAACATAGATAAGGAATCTAGAGTAAATTTTGCCATTTCAGTGCATTTCTTTTCAGGTTTTTTTCTGGGAATATTTGTATTTTCTTTTATGGACTTGGCATTTTATTGAATATAGTTTTATGTCAGCCTTTTCCACTTACTATCACAAACATTTTTTCACGTCATAAGAATTTTCTAAAAATACCATCTATACTAGATGAATTCATTATATTTATGGACTGTAATTTACTTAAGATTTCCCTGCTTGCTGTGTATTTAGATCGTGTCCCAGTTTTCTGTTATAAATAATGCTGCAATTAATGTTTGTATACAAAGATCTTTTGACCCAGCTTTGATCCTCATTTTCTGTTTATTTTGGAAAAATAATTTTATCTCTTTTGGTTACAGAGGATAATCTAATTTCCAAGTTCCATGAGCACCTAACATTCTCAATTTTTAAAATTAACCAAAGACACATAATTGCCAATCAGAGCTTATGATTAGTGAAAGATACATAACTGCTTACTGCTTATCTGTTCTTTTACAGTGGAAGCTCCATGAAGCCAGAGACTTTGTTTCATTTACTACCAAATTCCTGGAATTTAGAAAATGTGTAGGATATAGTAATCACTCTGCAAATACTGTTGAATGAATGGATGAACCAAGAGTGACACAGTGAATAAAGAAATGTGATGTCACCCTGCATTGTCTTATGGGCAAATGTATTTTTCTGTTGATCTTGAAAAAATATTGAAAATAGCTCATAGTTATTCTTGATGCAGAAGGCACTGAGATTGGAAATCACATACTTAACCCAACCCCAAGGTATAAAAAACTAGAATGGCACTTCAACTGCAGCAGAGTGATTGGGCGAACTGTTATTTGTACCCTTCCTGAAACACCACTGAAGGAAGTTACAGTAAAGGAAAACAGGACATAGACCTACAAAGACAAAGAAAAGAGAAATAGAGATAATAGTGGAGAGGAGATAATAGTGCATTATACAAAAACATTAGGGGGCCGGGGATTTAGCTCAGTGGTTCCGCTGCCTGCCTTGAACGTGCAAGGACCTGAGTTTGATCCCCCGTACCAAAAATCAAAACAAAACAACAATGGAAAAAAACCCATTAGGACTGGAGGGAATACATTCTTATGTGGATAGATGTAGGGCAACTAACCTAGCAGAACCACAGACAGTAGATGTAAATCTAAAGGAAGGAGCCAAGAGAAACAAACCAACTGGAGCTGTGGAACCCTCCACAGGCTCAGGATTAGAGGCTGTAGCCATCTCTAAAGCCTGTTTGCAGAGTGAGGCTGACTATAGGAAGTTGCGATGAAGGTCATGAGCAAGTGGTTAGATCTTCCATCCCCTGGAGTGACCGGGTGACTGATCCCCTTCTGCTCATGCAGAGACCGGAAGTTTACTCTCTGTATACTTTCACCCAGACAGGACCAGGATTTAGGGACACCTGGCACAGCTGAAGTCCCATTATTATTATTATCATCTTCCAGGTGGTAGCTTGACATATTAAAATTTATTTGAAATTCAGGGTTTTTTTTTTGAGACAGGGTCTCACTATATATAGCCCAGGCTGGCCTTGATCCTCCTGCCTCAGCCTCCCAAGCACTAGGATTACAGGTGTGCACATCACACCCAGCTGAAATTCAGTATTGTCACATAGTCTATTCTGAGTGGGACTCAGGATAATCTGAAAAATTATAGTATGTCTAATAGATATCAGGAAGGGTTCTGAAATTCTCTTAAGATCTTAATAGTGATGGAGAGGAGCTATATACCTTTAATTAATTCATTTGCATTAGAAGTAATTATTAAATAATTTTAAGTACTAAGAGCCTGAACAGAAAAGTCAAAAGGAATTCAGAGATTAAGAAACTGTATTCAGATGAAATTTAAAAATGTAATTTTATATGAAATATGCAATATAATGAAAAGAGCAGATAACTGTCAAGGATGTGACCCCAGTTTCAATGACTTTTATCTCTGCTACACCCACTTCCACGGCCAAACTGATATTGCTGTCACCTAGGATTGTTCTCTTAAATTCAGAGAGTCTATTCTCAGACTAAACTTTTTTTTTGGTACTGGGGATCAACTCAGGACCTTGCACTTGCGAGGCAGGCGCGGTGCCACTGAGCTAAATCCCCAGCCCTCAGACTAAAATCTTGCTTAACATTGATTATCTTAAAATAATTTTGTGAACTAATCCAAACTCTGGTGAACTAATTTCAAATTTTCAGAAAAATTGCAAGTATGGTTCTGAGAATTCTCATATTACCTCAAGTTCATTAATTTTAACATTTTATCTTTTTTTATTATTCTGTGTACCTACCTATACAGTGTTTTTCCTTGAACTAGAACAGTCTCATGTAAAGTCTCTATGAACTTTAATACAGATAATATATTTTAATCTAATTCTGCTGTCCATATTCCAATTTTGTCAATTGTCCAAATTATTAAGAATGCCTTTTATAGATTTTCCACCCGTACAGGTTTCAGTCTAGAATCACAAATTACATTTGGTTGTCCTTTCTCTTTGGTCTCATTTAATCAAGAGCAATTCTTCTTGATTTTTTTTTTTTTTTTCTGAGACTGAGTCTTGCTATGTAGTTTAGGCTTGCTTTGAATTTACTATGTATCCCAGACTGGCCACAGTGATCCTCTTGTTTCAGCCTCCCAAATGCTGTGATTACAGGCCTGTATTCCTTGCTGGAGCAGTCCTTTTGTCTTTCTTTTTCTATCTCGATGTTGATCAGCATTGATTCAGAAAGGGTCCTTGTTGTATTCAGGGTTTTGGCAAGGGAATACATTTAATACAGGCCACATAATTTATAGGATTATTTTATGATATTTACCCAAAAAGTCAAATATGGAGAAGTGCAAGAGATTAGCCACACGCTAGAGGCCCAAAGAATCCAGCCAAGGGCCTGGATCCCACAGCAATGTCCCGCACAAGTCCAGCTAAAGGCCTAGAGTCCAAGGCCATGTTTTCCTTGAGTCCAGCCAGTGGCCTAGAGCCCATGGCAATGTCTCATGCTTGTCCGTATCAAGGATCTGCACCCGGAAGGCCCAAAGGCCAGTGGTGAAAGCCAGAAAACCTGTGCCCATGAGATGAAGGATTTGTGCCACCAAGCTGAGGGATCCACACTGGAGCAGGAAGTGATGCTCTCAGTGAAGAACAGAGCTTCCCCCTTCCCACATGAAAACAGCAGCCATCCCCAGTGACAGTGAGGCCCCGAGCTCCTCCTCCAATGAGAACAGCCTAGTTTGCTCAGGAAAACCAGCCGCAGCAAGCTTCTAGAATATCAACAGCCCATGATCTTCCCCTCCAGTTCTCATTTTATGGGTATTGGCAACAATCATCAGGTGGGATCCTCCATGCTCAGACCACGGTGATTCAGCTCATCTGGGTGTTACAAGTTAAACGTTAATCCACCACATTATCTGTACAGATTTATGATTATGATCTGTCCTCATTATCTGTACAGATTTATGATTCCCTTGTACCTCTAATCCTCTCATCTCTCGTGGACAGCCAACTTCTTCACTTACTGTGTAACAAAATATAAGCCATAATACGCAGACTCCTGCCATGTCTCGACACACACGTATTTATCTGCATCTACTGAATTACTACAAAAGCCCCTGAACGGGCTTAGTTGTTTTCATTTAATATCCTGATAATCTCTGTTTATAAATTCTCTGCTTAAAACCCTTTCTTTCCTTATTTATTTAATTTATATTTTGGTTTCTTTTTTAAAGATAGGGTCCTACTATGTAGTTCAGGCTGGCCTTAAACTTACCATGTAGCCCAAACTGGCCTTCAATTTGCTGTGATCCTCCAGCCTCAGCCTCCCTAGTGCTGGGATTACAGGCGTGCACCACCATGCCTCAGACCTAAAACCCTTCAATGTCTTTGCGTTGCTCTTAGAATAGCCTGAATGCTAACAAAGTGGACTAGGTGGTCTTTTTTCTGTAGGTGTTTTGTTTTTCTTTCTGGTCATGTTTGCACTACCCTCTGAGCATTTCATAACTCATCTCAGGGATTTATTTGTTGGTTTCCTAAGGAAAGCAGACAGCTGGACACATACTGCTTTCTCTTCCTATGTGTAGTAATTAGTATTGTTTAGTGGTTAAGAGCACAAGATCTGTAGGAAATGCCATGAGCTGGAGAACTTTAGGTGTCCTAATTTCTTCACATGTCCAGCCAGAGGTCCCGCACAGCGGAGCAACTTCCCAGACAGGAAAGAGCAGGAGAAAAGGCGGTCACTGTGCATGGTGTCAGGCCCCAGGGCAGGCAAGGGCCGGCCCTCTTAGACCTTACTTACTGTTGGGAGAGCCATTCAAGAGTCACACAATTACTTCATTACATTTAGGGTAAACAGTTCAAAGAAGTTCAGGGTTCCAGCAGAGGGGCACCTGGTTGAAGTTTTTCTTACTGGCGGAGCTTTGAGTCTGGCATTCCTTCTCCTGAAGATCACTAGTTCTTAGCATGGAACTGCAAATTCAAATGCCTGAAGCAGAACTACAAGTGCCTGAAGCAAGAAAGGGGCGTGGCATAGTGGGGATTGCTGGGGTTTTGGGGGACTGGAGGAAGCCAGAAGCTTTTAAAAAGGGAGACAGTACAGTCCAGCTTATTGCTTTTTGGTTTTTGGTAGTGCTAGGGATTAAACCCAGGGCCCAGCACTTGCTAGGAGAGTGCTCTACCATTGAGCTACATGCCCCGTGCTTTAATTTTTATTTATTTATTTTTTAGAATTTGAGGCAGAGTCTGGCCAAGTTGCCAGGCTGGCCTTGAATTGGGGATTGGTCTTTCTACTGTAGGCCACGAGGTCCCTGTCCCCTAACCCGTAACTATGATTATACACATGTGCCACCAAGCCCTGCCCAGTTCATATATATATATATATTTTGTGGTTTTTTTGTTTGGTTTTTTTTGAGTAAGGATCTCCCTTTGTAGTTCAGGATGGCCCTAAACTCTACTTTGTAGCCCATGCTGGCGTCGAACTCATGGTGATCCACCTGCCTCAGCCTCCCGAGTGCTGGGATTACAGGTGTGCTATTTTTTTTTTTTTTTAAGTGAGGAAAGGTTTACTTACTTCACAGCTTGTAGAGGTTTCAATCCATAGTTGGTGGCATGGCAGAGGGCATCACAGAGTTCATGGCAAAAGCAAAAGAGTTCATAGCAAAGCAGTGTAGGCAGAAGGCAGCCGAAGTGTATATATTTTTTTCTTTTTTAGTACTGGGGATCCAACTCTGGACCTTGTGCTTGCGAGGCAGGCGGCAGAACGACTGAGCTAAATCCCCGGCCCCGCAGATTATATTTTTCACTTATATCTATCTTATCAAACATTTATAATTTATGTATAGTGAAACTTTCAAAATCCTTTCTTCTAGGTTTTGGGATATAGAAGATTATTGTCACCTGTCATCACCCTATGTGCACACCAGAGCTGCCTGCTCCTGTCTGACCATAGCTGGTGCCCAGTGATCAACCTTTTCCCATCTCTCCTAACCCCCTGCTGTTTTCAGAAAGGTTGTTGTTTGTTTGTTTGTTTCATTTATTTGAGACAAGGTCTTTTTGTGTAGCTCTGGCTGGCCTTGAGCTTGAGATCCTCTTGCCTCAGCTTCCTGAGTGCCAGGGTTATAAGTGTGTCCACCATGCCTGGTTTGGAAAAGGTATCTATTTCACACACTACCCTTTATTTATTTAGTTAGTTATTTTTCCTTCAGTACCAGGGATTGAACTCAGGACCTTGTGCTTGCAAGGCAAATGCAGTGCCACTGAGCTACATCCCTGGCCCTACATACTACACTTTATATGTTGGGTTTCATGAGAATTACAAAGTGTGGGATGGTTTTGTTTTGTGTGTTTGCAGTTGAAATGTCATTAGTCTGTCATCCAATTTATAGGTTGCATGTAAATTACCAGGGCCCTTGAACTTCAGTTGCATACATTAAGGATGCTGCTTTATTTAAAAAATAAAAGAGGTCACTTGGCTGCCCTGTGGAAGATTGGAGCAAGGCAAGAACAGCTGATGACGGTGGTGTTGTGGATTAGGTGGCAACAGAGAAGATAGCCCAGAAGCTTTTTAGTGTACAGATTCTAGATTTCTTGGTTATTAGAAGTGAGTGCTTGAATAACAGAGGCATAAATTAACAACTTTGACTCTTCTGGTCTTTACTGTAGCTGGCTTGTTTTCCTTTTAAACTAGAATCATCTATAATAGATAGGTGATAAAACATATTTGATAAATGAAAGGACAAATTTTATAAATGGATTGTGGTATTTTGTCTTTGGATCAAATTGTTTTATGAAATAGAAAATCACGAAGAACTATCTCCTCTCCCCAAAATAAGATAAGAATTGATTTCTTGACTTTCTTTCAAAACAGCCTATGTCTGGATTAGGTGTTGGCATTACTTGAGCCAAACAGAACAATAACATTATTTATGCTTTCACTTAATTAACCTTGAGGGCATTTCTTTACCTTCTTTGTTGTATACTTTAAACAGTTCCCATGGTAAGTGTTTCTCTTGGGGCTTATTATTTTATCTTAATTCTGTAGATAGGATTTTGAGCACCTAGTAAGTGTTTATGTATATAGGCACCTTGGCTTTAGGAAAAACTCAGCTGCACTGTGCATTTCAAAAATGTTCTTCTATACCTAAGTGACTTGACTTTTATTTTGGTTGTGACTGATTCCTCTGTAATTACTATTAATAATTTCTTCTCTTTTTTTGGTACAGGGGGTCAAATTCAGGTCCTTGCGCTGCGTAGCAGGCAGCGAAACCACTGAGCTAAATTCCCAGCCTTCTAATTTCTTCTTCTGAAAATTAATATTTTTTGTTTTTCTTTTTCTGGTTTAACTTCTAATCACACATAGTTTTAGCCTTCTTAGTATTTCCATTGCCAACAAAACAAATAGAATGTGAAATTGTTGGCACTGGTAGTATCAAATATAGAATTAAAGAGAAAAAAGGCTTGCTATATAATGATATAATTGCTTCTGAGATTTTATCAATAAAAATAATTATTGTATTGACATATTAATTTAGTTATGTTTTTATAATAAATAAGTGCTGCAATTTGTGGACTAATAGAGTAAGAACAAGTGAAAATAAGGTAAAGAATATTTTTAGTTCATTATTATTATTTTTTGCAGTACTGGGGTTTGAACTCAGAGTCTCATGCATCCTGGGCTGCCACTCTACCACTGAGCTATATATACCCTTAGCCCAAGAATATTTTTTTAAGGAATATGAAATATAAATTTTTATTTAGTATTTTAAGTAGATGATTTATATATTTTACCTGATGCAAAAATTACAGTAACTATAAGTTCAAAATATTATTAATGAAATGCTAGCAGATGCTTGTAAGGGACATAACTTTAGGAGAACTACTACTAGAGCCAGGCATGGTGGCACACCCCTGTAATCCTAGCCCTTGGGAGGCTGAGGTGGGAGGTTTGCCAGGAGTTCAAGGCCAACCTGGACTACATAGTGAGTTCAAGGCCACCCGAGCTACATATCGAGACCCTGTCTCAAAAAATGAAGAAAGAAAGAAAGAAAACTACTGCTAATAACACTGAATGTGAAATGAGATTTTGCCTTTCTCCTTTCTATCTACATTTCATGTGAATGAGTGATAGAAAATTTATTTTCTCTCTATAAAATCTATGTAACTTACTTTCTTGTATTACTAAGCAACTTCTCCAAATTAGACAAAATTAGTAATGATAACGGGTAACTTCTATTGAATTTTACTACATCTTGGTCGATGTTCTTTAAAACAATCCTGTGAGATAGATACTTTTGATATTGTCCATTTTACCGATGAGAAAAAACAAATATGAACAGCTAAGTAACTTGAGGCTGCCATGCTAGTAAGTGGACAATCTGACCTTTGAACTCACACGGTCTAGCTCTAGAGAAATGGTACCAAAATTTAAATTAAGATGTTAATAAAGTATTTAAAAACTAATATTAAAGTATTAATCAATTAATTATTAATTAGCTAATATTAAAATATTTAAACTAATATTCACACTTTATTTAGATTTTCGTAGTTTTTACCTAATGTCCTTTTTCTGTCCCATGAAAGGGTACCGCATTACATTCAGTTGCTATGGCACCATAAACTCGGCTTGGCAGTGGCAGTTTCTCAGGACTTCTCCTGTTTTTGATGACCTCATGCACAGTTCTGAGGAGTGCAGTCAGAATGCCCCTCCATGGAATCTGAGTAGTATTTGTCTTGTAATTAGCCTGGGGTCACAGGATTTGAGGGGAAGGACCACACAGACGGAGCCATTTTCAGTGTATCGTATCAAGGGTACACACTGTAAATGCAGCTTCTCACCGTTGATGTTGCCACTCTCGAGAGCTTGTTTGGAGGTTCTCATGGGAGTGCAGCTGCTCCTATTCCCTTGAAGAGGAAGCAGTCCTGCTCTATGGGGGGTGGAGGGACGCACATGGAGCGGTGAGGGGCAAGGGGACCCCGGCCTAGCCAGCCAAATCGAATCAACCCTGGCAATCAGTGGGGTGACACATGTTGGGCAGATCACCCTACATCAGATGAGTCTTTTTTTTTCTTGCCGTACTGGGGATTGAACTCAGGACCTTGTGCTTGCGAGGCAGGTGAGGTACCACTGAGCTAAATCCCCAGCCAGATGACAGCATTGATCACCTGGCCGAGGTAGTGTTTGTCAGGTTTTGCTGCTGTTAGTTACTATTTCCTTTTTCTCTACTTAAGTCTGGAAGGAAGTCACTGTGTACTGTTGATGCCTCAGGAGAATGGAGTAACACTCCCCCTCCTTGAAGGTAGAGAATCTACAAGAATTACATATTTGAAATTATTCTCCACAGATTTGTCTCTTCTGTTTATCTGTACACCCAAGCATTTATTTTGGGTTACAATCCAGTACTACTTATAGCTCAAGTCATTCCAGCTTTGGACCCTGGAAGTTCTTTCACTTGGTTTCTGTGTTCCTTTGACACAGCTCCATGGATTTTTTAAAAGCACTTCTACTACTACTGACATTAGGATATTTCTATTTATAGCACTCTGAACCCAAATACGTGGGTTTTCTTATTCGTTTTTTTTTTTTTTTTTTTTGTGCCAGGGATCGAACTGAAGACCTTGTGCTTCCTAGGCAGGTGCGGTGCCAATGAGCCAAGTCCCCAGCCCCATATGTGGGTTGCCTACACCAAACAATTCTCCAGTTCTCTGTGGATACAAACTGGAATGTCCGATAACTGACTTGTAATAGTAAGGACTGGAGTTGGCGCAGCCCCCACAGGTTGAGGGCTCAGCCCTGTAAATAGGCCTATAAAGGTGTGCCCAGCGTCAGGATCAAGTATCGGCTTCCCCACCACTCTCCCCAGTTAGCTACCAGGGCCCTTTACCACAGCCCCTCTGCAGATGGATGATTTCCTAGAATGGGTCACAACTCAAGGGAACACTAAGAACACTTACCAGTTTTTTATTAAGGATATTATCATAAGGGAAACAAATGAGCAAGAGAAGAGCTGCATGAGGTGAGGCCCAGGAAGGGGAGAAGCAGCCTGGGAGCTGGGTGGAGCACGCCCACATGGCCTGGGGATGTGTTCACCAACCTAGAAGTCCTCCAAACCCCTTTCCTGAGGGTTTCTGTGTAGTTCATTACATAGGCACAATTGAGTAAATCCCTGGCCTTGTGAATGGTTCCATCCCCTCTTCCCACCTTGCAGATCAAGGGGTAGGACTGAATTTTGAGCAGATACTGTAGTTGGTTGTTTTTGTTGTTGTTGTTGTTGTTGTTGTTTGGTGTAAGTCTTTCCGATTATTATTCTTGTTAAATTTATTGAGAACTTGTCTACCATGAGCCAACTTTATACTACTCCCTTTATTTATCAATATCTCATTTAATCTTCATAACAGCTTTGTGAGATATTATTCTCATTTTAGAGGTGAAGAAATAGGCTAGTAGGAGGTTGGACCTGTTTACATATGTAGTTAGTAGGAGGCAGGACTGTTGGGTCACCATGTTACCTTCTATTTTAAACTTTTATGGTGATAACTCAATTTCTGGGAATTTGTGCTAAATTCTTGAGAGTTACTTTAATCAATGAACAGATATCCATAAGGAAACTTTTTTTTTCTTGACATTCAGTAACTTTCAAGTAGTTTAAGTCTTTTAAAAAAGGTTCTTCTGTTTTTCATAGTGGAGAATGTAAAGAAAGCTGTTAAAATCGACTTTCTGGGCTGATTAAATTGAGAAGAAATCAGCTGGTTTATAGATGGCCTTTAATATTGACTGTGTTTTAAACCGCACTTTAAAAAATAGAAATAGCTGGTGAGGAGCTGAAAACTGCAGTAAGTTTTCTTCTAAACCATAAAATGTTGTTGACAGACATCTTTTTATAGACATATCCGTGACTGCAGACTGTTTTTAGGCTTGATAGTTTTTTTTCAGAAAGGAAAATCTTTCCTTCAAATGTATCAAAGCTGTTTACAGTAAAACAGCAAACTGAGACAAGACAGGAACTCACCCT